GGTCATCAGGAAACCTCAGAGATGATCTAGGCTACCTTCCTGTTCAGAACAGAAGAAAAGCAAATAACTGCTAGTGGCGATCGAATTCACAACATGGAACATCCACAAAGGTCTTTCAAATATCAGGCAACCATTAGTGTCCACTCAGCCTCACAGCCACGCCACTGGGTTTTCACCCCTTGAGTCCCTTGGCCATGCTACAGTACCTCAAAACATTTTCTGTATTCCAAACACTTCCACACTTCAGCAGGAGATTGTTGCAGTGTCTGTCAGAGAAGGAAAAGGCAGCCCCATAAAACACCACAGACAGCTGCTTGGAAGAACAGGCAGATAGAAAATCATTTCATTGTAGTAAAGCTCCAAGGAATGGTGCTTCGTAATCAAAAGACATGGGTAGTGAAGGTGCTGTGTGGTAATCTGTTCTACATAAATAGGGTGATTTCATATAAATAGCAATGTATTGATCAAACCTCTGTACAGCACAAAGATTTTCTTTAAAACCCTTCAGAAACTTCTGCGCAGGGAATCACATTACAAGGACTGCTTTCATGCAAAAAATATGCATGTCATTTATCAATCACACAATGAATCAATCAGACACTAGATATGTAATGTTATCTCCCTGCATTACAGCTGTAAGTGAAATGCCATGAACTTCTCAAAAGTGGTGTCAGGAGATAAGACTGGCTTATATCAACTCAGATCAAATGCTGCACTCGAGCTCCAACCAAATGCTGGGATTAATATCCCACTGCCCATAACTCTGCGGTGCAGTTCATTAAAAAGAACTGGGGTTGTAGAGAACCAACTGAGCAGAAAGCTTTAGGCAGCTGCCTGCCCTCCTGCTAGCACTGCAGGAGGTGGGCAGCACCTCTGGTCTCCCCTGACATTGCAGGAATTTTGAGCTTCAGCACAGTTTATCTGGGCTTTGTCCTGGTCCCAGGAATGCCAGAAAAGAAGGGCTGTGCTCTAGAGAAGTGTGGTGGCATCAGGAGAAGCTTTTTATTTGAGATAAAAGTGGGGTGTGAGATGCTTGTAGTCATGGTGGGCAAGACATACTAGGAGAGAAATGAGGTTTGGCAGATTGCAGGAGGGGTAGTTTGTGTCCCTCCCTGCACATTTTCTCGTTCTCGACTCCAGCCTCTCCACCATCTTCCCTGATGTACGTTCCCACAACCTGCAGGTTTCAAACTCAACACTATCAGCCAAGCTGTCAAACCTGTGGCACCCAACAGCTGCGGTATCAAGCAAACGGAAAGGCCCAACTTGATGTAACTCTGAACACGGAGATACGGATGGATCCAGACTCCATCTACTTTTACTTCCCGTTACACAGAAACATCTCACAAGCACAAGGACATCCTAGAGCAGCACTAAGGAGTGCACGAGGTGCATTTGTTCTGCCCCACAGTTCAGCCACATCTCAATCTCTTCTCCCAAAGGCAATGTAAGCGCTCCCTAATGAGTCATTTTCCACTCTGTTTTCTCGCCTCTCACTTTCTAATCCAACTCTCATATTACAAAAATCAGAGCGTTACTTTTATTACCTCATTTGGACGCTGATCTTACAAGTTGTATGAACCAACTCATCCTCGCAATAAAAAGAGATGAGAGCACTTCTAGTTACATCCCCACTTCAGAGGGACAGCTGTAGGGGCCTCCAGAAAAGGAGGGATGAAAGAAGAAACAATGGACTTGCAGCCTGTTCTTCCATGGTTGTCCAGCTTGTTTAGCATACTCTTACTCTTCACAGCCACTGGAAGACAAACGTGCATTTTGCATACCCTTGCACCATGGCCAGACCTGTTTGAAGCTCCACTGAGGCGGGCTGTTCCTCCCTGTGACCATTTCCTGAGCTCAGCATGGGTTGAAATTCAAAAGGACAAAAGCAGCAAAGCCTCTGATGGGTGACTTTTTCTGATTTACACTCTTCAAGTGCAAGTGCCCCCTCATGTCACTGGAATGCAGCCTCCCTTTTGATTCGGGATTGTCATAAATAATGCAGAGATTATCTCGAGGTTTCCCACACAGGGTACTCCAACCACAACCCATGCAAGGCTAAGGAGTTCTGTACTTTCTCATATCCAAGATGTTTCCTCATCTTTTCAGGAATGAGAGCTTCCAGGAAGCAGCTATCCTGTGGACACTTTCACCAAAGGCATATTAAGACACGACTGCTTTATTGAGCATCACTTGATGAAAAATAGAGATACTTCTCCAACATCCAGAGCAGGAATGCAAACTGTTTTAAATGAATGGAAGCACTTTTTTCAACCACGCTAGCAATTGCTGAATTACAACAACTGAGGTCACTGCACTGCTTGTGTAGATCAAAATGAACTTGAATTAACCTGGAAAAAAGGGTGAATCAGCATATTCCTCCTGTGTATAGCATCTGTGTTCATGTAATGTTGCTTCACTCTCCATTTGATCGCTATATACCATCAATTTTTGCACTGCACCCACAACGTATCAAACAAAGTGGAAGCCAGCAGATGAATATCATCACTGTTAGGCTATGCTGCAGAAGATTCTTTTCTACCAGATATATTATCTTTAGCACATCGCAGTATAAACAGATAACTCATTTCCCTCCATAAAAGTAAACCCTTTGATGAGCTTTGCTCACAACTTAGGTCTCTGGGGGAGCACAGTCAAGACAAAAGGAAACCCATCTCAACAACAACATAAATTGCCTCATTATCTCCCCAGAGCTCAGGGATTTTCCTTGTTTTTGTAATTGGCTAAGAAGTAAATGAATATAACTAGCTAGAGAAAGGTCAAGTTGGAAACGCAAGTGTTCCAAGCTGTAACTTTTCAAACTACAGTGAAAATGAGGTGTCACACAAATGCTCACATTTAGAATGCTCTCATAGCTAAAACAGATGACAGCAGTCCTCCTGCAGGCCAGACAAACCTCCAGTGGCAGTGTTCACTCAGCGATACAAGGTGCCTGGGACTGCACAGTGATGTGGCACTAAAACACAGAGACCAGGATCAGCTGATGAAGCTGCCAAAGATCATCACCACCAAAATGCCCCATGTCTGTTGAGTTCAGTGGCTCCACCAGCTGATCCAGTCTGTGGTTCAGCATGGTTTCCAGTTACCTGGAGTCTTGGAGGGCCACAGTTGATCCTGGCATACAAGTAATTCTTCTGTCAAGAGGCTGTCACCCCATGATCTGTAAGTGCGAGTTACGCAAAGTCCCAGGCTCAGGAAGGTGGGGAAAAGGTGGGCTTTGCTTGATAATGGCACCAAAACCCTTCAAAGGTCCAGCTGGTTCCATCTTGGCGCTGGAGCTCACATACATCTTACTCACTGTCCTCATGTCAAGGGGTTTGCAGGATGGCAAAGTCTTCAGCTGTCAACACTGTGTTTACTGGCTGACAGCTCAGTGCTGCCTCCCAAATGCAGAGCAGTATGCAGCATGACGGCTGCCAACACACAAAGCCTTTCTGAGAGAATACATCAGGTCTGCCAAGCAGGGGAAAATGCCATGTGCTGCACATGTGCCCCAGGTTAGAGCAGGAGACATATTCCTGCCTTCAGCAGAGCCCCTATGCAGAAGGCAAGCAGGCAGCACTTCCCAAATACCGTGGGCACTGGGCAAGTGGTGCCAACTGCAGAAGTGCTTTGAGGTGACAAGAACTTTATACACCTGATTTCAGCCACCTTCATACCTGTACAAGAAATCTGCTGACCTGGATGTACTTTCACATGCGGGCTAAGAATTCTTGAGGGGGTCTGGGAGGACAGGAGCTGCTTCCCACTCCACCAGGTCCTGTGGTGAAAGTTGGGTTTAGCCTCTTACACTTTGCTGTCTGATGAAAGCAAGCAGAGTCCAGGTCCTCTGCTATCAGGACTTCAAAACAGGGTCTTAGTTATGAATTTCCAGTGAGTCAAATAAAGAAAGCCCTGGAAAGGGAAGGAAGGTAGAGCTGGCTGCAGGCTGAGCATGGGAGGGCTGATTTACATCTCTCTGAGGCTAGTCCGTGTCTTACTTGGACTCAGGACTGCATGCACAGAGGTCGGTCACCAGCCCCTCTCCTCTCCCAACGCCTCCAGCTCGCTGCTGCCAAAGAACACCCACCTGCCAGGCCCCGCTGCGCTGAAACACAGCCCAGCTCAGCTCTGTCCTTTGCACTACAACAGTTGTTTCCACTCGAACAACTCACAATTCCCCACAATTTCATTCCCCCTCCCCTTTCATTTTCCCCGAAGTGAAATATAACTGCGAAGGCTTTGAGGAAGTTCCAGACAACATTGCTCACTTCATTTCAGCTCAGACAATTCCCAAATTACCAGACTATCATGCACCGGCCTCAAAATCACCACACATCCAACCTCTCCCACCAAAGGTTTCTCCCCAAATTCTTTTATGTCACCGATAACCATCTGTTAATGAATAATAACAGCAGCACATGCCTTAAAGGAACCAAAGCACCATATCCAACAGCTAGGATGGGGCTGGCACCGAGGGACCCCAAATCAAAGTGGACCGACTGACTCAGCGTCTCTGTAACTAGATTGGAACAACTCATCCGAATCCCAGTAGGTAGAAATTAAAACAATTCAGGGGAAAAAAGCACAATGTGAAGGTCTCCCCTTAACATTTTTTTCCATTAAATTGCGTGTAAAAGCCTCCCATATTTGAGAAAGGGGCTGAAACCACAGGAATGGACGGCAACTGAAGAGCAGGCTGAACAACTGTTCTCACAGAAATCTGCAAACCTGTACTGCTCTGGTTTGTGCTCTGCTTGGTAATGTTCCACAAGGCATTTGAGTGAGAGAGACAGAATAGAAGCCTACTTCTTTCCTGAGCCAGGGGAATCCCTGCTTTATGTCCCCTCTTGGTGCACACCAGCTGAAACTGCTGCCCCTGCTGGCTGCACAGATAGGACAGCCTCCTCATCTCTTCGAGGGCTACCAACTCCCCACCTTCTTCTCCAGCAACTCCTGGAAATCTTTTGCCAAACAGAAGAATAAAGGCACATCCTTACCTTGGCCTCAAGCGTGTTCAGCCTCTCAGTCATATCTGCTAACCTCGTGCAGTTCATGCATTCTGGAAAGAGCAAAAGAACATCATGTGAAATCTTCATGTACTTTGCATTTTCATCCATAGTTTTCACCCTGCAGGTCCAGGTCCCTTTTCAATCTAAAGCACACAGCAAAGTGCTTTGAGATCAGTTACACAGGGAAGAAAATAAGTATCTGACACCATTGTGCAGGTAAGCAGCCATAGCCACATTACCTGAAATGTTGTCTGGGGCTGTTCAGTGCTGCAGTGTGAAACCAGGTTCCCAATGGGCAGAAAGTACAGGGAGAAAAATGGGTTTTAGGATTTTTTATGCTGCCAACCACTACAACCTGTTAACACCAGCAGAGATGTGTTCTGTCGCTGGTGGCAGTGGAAGGGCTGTGCTCCCACCTCAGAACACCAGGCTGCACGGCCACTGCTCCAATCCTGCTGAAACACTGAAGGAAGCAATGCACGTAGAGAACCCCCATCTCTGCGGGGTCCTGCTGCGTCCTGCTGCGTCCCCAGGCTCTGTAGCCACCCCCACAACAACTCATCAGTCTCAGCAACAGCGAGAAAAAACAAAACCGACCCCAGGGCTGAGGCATGAAGTGGTTTCCATCTCACTTCGCTGCATAGAAGCAACTGATAGGCAGCAGCCACCAAAGGGGTCTTGACAGGATGCCTTACCAAGAACAAACGTTTGCTTAATGGGCTCTGAGTGCTGTTTAAAATGATTGCTTGGTACAAAGGACATCACTTATCTAAACAGGAGGCCTGCTGCTTTGCCTCTGTTTTCATTTCAGCTGTTTTAAAGTGAGTGAAGGAGGATGAAGACCTGACCAGAGATTTAATCACCAAGCACTTTCCCAGTACTTCACAGCAGTGCTGGATGCCTGCTCCCAGTGAGCAGAGAAGCCTTCCATACGGTGTGCTCACCTATCACAACTTCTGAAGCTCAACTGGTTTTAAAAAGGGAAAAAGAGTTGCAACATAAAGCATTACAGAAAGTAAACTACCCACGCTCAGGTGATCAATCACCACCAGCTCATGTCCCAGAGAGGGGATGCACATCTCTGAGTGCATTTCTGAGTTCCTTAATGCCCACTGAAGCAGCACTTACTGCCAATATTTCCATGGGGCTGCCAGTATTTCCATGGGAAAGGCTGACCCATAATTTCTGAGGCATTGAACAAACTGTGCAGGTGTGGCTCCAAGGAATTTGTGCTCATGCAGAGGACGTTGAGTAACCCCACTGCCTACCTACAGAGAAGAATGGGATGAATGTTCAGGAAAACATGGGCTTTGCCCTACCCAACCACCACCAGGACAGCTGGCATTCAGTTGTCGACCCTAACAAGCCATGCTCCCCTTCTGCAAGAGGACCCCTGTGGAACCTCTCAGATCTTCACCCACAAACTCTTCTCAGTTTTATGGAGCACATGGTATGCACTGATGGCTCTCAGCCATACAAAGATTTCAGTACGTGGCTTGGAGGGCCAGGAAGTTTGGCTGTTCCTCAGCAGTGATTTACAGCCCAAGAAGATTGCTTGAGTACTAACAGCAACCAACCCCCCACTGCGTAAACCTTCCAAAGAAATTCTCTCCTTGACCCCATAGGATCACAGAAACCCTCCGTGGGGAGCTGAGCAGTTCCCCAAAGGGGTCAGACACGCAGCTTCCAGCCGATGGTGCCGGACATTTTCCAAACAAAGCATCTGGTGGTTCATGCACGCTTTGATGGAGAGATTTCCTCACAGGTCAGTGCTGACATGGACTTTCTTCTAACAACATATAACATTTCCTTATTGTTATTCTCCACAACTAATCCTGGACAAAAGCAGCTTTTGGTCTGAGCTGGCACATGGATACACAAGTGCCATAGGTGTGTTGTCCCACCAGGAAGGAAATGAGTGAGGCTTTCTTGGTCTGGATCTGCCTGAAGTGTGAGAAACAGCGAGTTATGCTCTGTGTGCAACCAGCTTCATGCTTTTGATCTTGTTCATCCCCATAGAAAGATAAGGAAAAATAAATCCAGTGCTCCCAAGAGCCAAAAGGCGTACCAGATGTGCTACAGAGCTAATAAAATATGGAGTCCTATTCTCCCTTCTGCTGGCTTGCACATACTAATGACTCCCATAGGTTTCAGAGAGACTGGTTTGAACTGCCTGAAAATCACCTCTGGTGTAGATTTTGAGACATGTTGATAATTTAAGCTCTATTTGGAGAGCTCATTTCAAAAAAGGGCTTGTACCACTCCTGTGTGCACGGCAAAGCAGCTCAAGGGGTGGGCACTCCAGCCAGCACCAGCCCAGCAGCCCTTCTGCTCTTGAAGCATCTCTGAAAGTCCTCTTTATTATCAGTGATGACTGGGAAATGCTGGAAAAATGTAGCCCAGCTCCCTCAGGAGAACTACATAGCATCCAAGCTAGATTTGAACTTTCATCCTGTCCTTCTCAAAGTGCCCAGAAACCCCCATCCACACCCAAAGTACTTAATCTAGACTCAAAAGACGTTTACCTAATCCAGAAAGTGGAAATCCTAATGCAAAACAATATGCTTAAAATTGTCCTGCCAGCAAACCCCTGACATTTATCTAGCTAACCAGCAGATGGATGATGCTCACAAACACCGACAGTGAGACCAACACTTCGTACCTCTGATACACAAACCACATTCACAGCTTGCTCACGGCACACGAGGGACCAGGCCATTTCCAGATATGGGCTCATAATTTGTCTTCGTAGAAAGCCTGAAGATGGTGGTGAGAAATCAAGACAATAAATACCTTCCCTAACTATTCTGCACTTACGTATTTACTCTTATCTTAATCCTGATGGCTGGTGGTTACAAGGCCTGGCACTGTAAAGTCAGATTTTCTGACCAGGGATAAAGCATTCTGCTTCATTAAAGCCAGCCTGAAATCTCACATCATTATTCCACAATGCATATAGCACTGGGTCAAATACACATGCTCTGTGACCTGAAACTCCAGAGCAGACTCTTTCTGTCTCTACAGAGATACATCACTTGTTGCTACAAAGAACCACCATTTATTTCCCCCCTATTCCTAGTTGGCAGATTTGTATTTCTCCAGCTCAACTCCAAGGAAAGAGTTGTGATTTCACTCTGTGAAGTCCAACCTTAAAACACATGGTAGGATTTGTTTCAGAAATATTCCAGCAGGGGGGATAAATAATTGAGATAACAACCACGGGACCGAACCAGCGTATCACGTGTCACCCAGTCTGTCTCCATAACATCTTGCTGTCACCTCTGCTTTCCTGCCCTCTGGCCCCACACTGGTTACATGGGTAAAGCAGCACAATGAGAGGGACAGGGAAGATGCTAAATATCATAGAGGAGATAGACTCAGTGCGCTGGAAGACAGCAGGTCGCACACCCCATATTGGTGGTGACCCACTGAGCTCCGATCCAAAGGCTGCTGCATTTGGTCAGTCTTCAATGGAACCTCCAGTGCTGCCTGAACGGGCACCAGGCTCTAGATCTGCTCCTATGACAAGTGATGGACAGCATTGAACATCCTCCTGAACGTGTCCTGCTACACTCGGCGTTCCTACCTTGCTCGAGCAATGTGAGCGTAATTTCATGATTGAACAGTTGCACATTTTGTCTGCTCAAGGCTGAAGGCCCTAAAAGTCTTCCAGCTCCTCGCCTGAATTAACAAAAAAGGTGTGATAACAGCTGTATACCAACGGGGATGATTTCAGCATCATTATCACAGTGGCACTGAAGGGAGTAAAATTATCAGGCCAACTTCCAGCATGGGGCCGCAGGTCAGAGTGCTGCGGAATGGCATAGAAACCTCTTGGCATCTCTGCCCCATTTCTCAGCTCTGACAGCCCACGCTCATTTGTATACCCAGAGTCTCTGCAGAATATTAAAAAGGCTTTTGGTTTTCCTGCAGCCAGATGCTCAGTAGATATAAATTGCACAGCTCAACTGAAGTCAAGGGATCAAGGCTCTGTCTCTCTTTTTCATGATAGATTGCTCCAAAATTCATATTTCAGAGAGGAGGCGGAGGAGGTGGTTTATAGCATATGAAAGGGGAGAGAATTCTGGAATCACAACGCCTTTGTTTAAACAAATAAAACCTTTGCAGCCAAATTTTTCTAGGTCGTATTTTGCCATTACTAGAAAGTCAAACCTTGCCATACAGCGGGGCGGTTTGGAGCGCACGGTGCTACAAATCCCGAACACACAAGTTGAGTATGGCCCAGTTTGGAGAAAATTTCATTGTCCAGTAGTCTCTGAACAAATCTGGAAGAGCATCAGTGAAGTCAGTTAAATTAATCCAGGCAACTGTGTTCCTGAGCTAGGAGGAAAGAATGAAGCTCAAAACTCCTGAGGGGAGCAGGAAGCACTGCTAACTTCTACTGTCAACGTGGTGAGCAGACAGGGGATGAGAAGTGACAAAGACGTCCAGAACGCAGCAGTGGAACAGCAATGTGGTTTCCTCAGTGACAACAGCATCATCACCATCCCCAGGTCATCCAAATCTCAGTGTCAAACCCCACCAGAGATGTTATACTTGGACGCTCACAACGAACCACTGGACCAGTGCCCCTTCCATCCACTTGTTCCCACACACATGCACACAGCTTAGCCGGAGGAAACAAAAAAAATGAAGCAGTGTCATTTTCAGACACCAGAAGAAGTTTCAAGTCAAATTCCACAGCAGAAATGTGAGCACAGACCTCCTGCGCCTGCCTAGGTGGCCCTCAGTGGGGGACAGCCAGCCCAGCTTGCACATCCACCCCTCTTTAATTTGTCTGATTTGACCCTTCCAGCCTCCTTACATGGATACCAAGTTTCCCTAAGTAGTTTATGTTCTGGCCCTTTGCAACAGCTTTCGCCAGTGCTCGTGAAGGATAGCAGGCCCAAGCCATAAATCACAGCCAACCTGGGATCTGTTTTTTCAACACGTTTCCTCTAATGAGAGTCAGATGTTGGCTAGATAGACTTTATTAATTGTATTTGCTTGGTATCAGTCATGTCCATGGCTCTGGAGCGGAGCTGGAGCA